GAGTACCCGACACGAGCACGACGCAGCAAACTGACTAGAAGCAGACACCAGACTAGACGCAGCCACCTGACCTGACGCAGCCATCTGTGCAGACGCAGTGGTCAGGGTGTACAGACTGGACCCAGGCTGCCGAGTGAACGTAGCAAGGTGACGTACAGTCTGGTAGCACGTACAGATCGCCACACGCTGCCCTCCAGGGATAAAGGTATCAACCCAAACATCCTGAAGGACTGCGTTGCTCACCAAGTTCGTCGAGAACGAGGGGAGGTGGAGGCCTGGAAGAGAGCCGGAGAGGACTGCCGGACACGGGAGGACAGTGGAGGCTCGTGCAACGACGCGGCCCCCAGAGGGGTCACCCAGTGAGACTGGGACTGGTGCAGCGAGTGCCGTGACTGTGGTGCAATCAAGAAGCAACGAGACGCGCCAGAGTCAAGTGTGAAAGTGTGCAGGGCCTCAGGTGAGGCTGGACGAGTGGCGGTAGATGCACTAGCACCTGGAGCTGCAGCAGACTCACTAGCATCTAGAGCGGCAGCAGACTCACTAGCACCTAGAGCAGCAGCCTCTACACAACTAGGGACGCCTCGCTGAGAAACTCAGTCGCGAAGCCGCTGGGGGGAGAAGGTCTCCTGCTGACGCTGCTGCCGCCGCTGTTTAGTACCCAAAAAACTATAACCTCTTCCACCTGGACGGCCGCGTTGAACGATCCACTCACGAATCTGCTGAAGCGATAGAGTGTCCGGGTGCGCGGGCTGCCGCTGCTATCCAGCACCTCCAGCACGATAACCTCCACCACCAGGACGGCCTCGCTGAAGAACTCACTCGCAAAGCTGCTGTGGTGATAGAGTGTCCGGGTGAGGCAATGGCTGCTGTTGTCCACCCCTAGACGCTGCTACGACCGTGATAGTGGCCATGACAGGCAGTGGCAGTCAATAGCAGCGGTGCAAGGGCGGTAGTACGACTGCTGTAGCTGCAGCTGTAGCAGTAGCGGTGGTCGCTGTGGCTGTAACAGCAGTAGCGACTGTTGGAGTGGCTGTGGAGGCCAGTAGGGTGCGTGGGCAACAGGGCACGGGCTAGCGCAGTAACAGCAGCAGTGGCAGCAGTAGCAGCAGTGGCAGCATTAGCAATAGTAGCTGTGACTCGTCATACGCCGACGACTTGGAGACCGTCATCTGTAGCTGTCAAACTATAATCGTTATAGTTTGTTAGTTTAGTCTAGGTGTTACATTGAGTTATGCTGTAGAGGGTACAACCCCCTTTAGGGTTTGCTATATGTTTCCTTGTACTGCTTGTTTGTAGTCATTCATTCCTCCGTTCCTATCCTAACTTGGTATAGAGCTTAGTTTGTTCCCATGGGCCCACCGCTTCGCGCCCCGCTCGTCACTCGCTCGTTTTAGGGTTGCCCGTAGCACCCTAGTGCGCCCCGCACCACGTTCCCTAGTGCGTGTCACCCCGTAGCTTACCGTGACCCGTCACCCCGTAGCCCAGCACGCCCCGTCAACCCGTAGCCCAACGCGACCTATCACATCGCTACCCACTGTGTCCCGTCACCTCATAGCCCAGCGCGCTCCTTCACCTGCAGCCCAGCGCGCCCTGTCACCCCCCAGCCCCGTACGCCTCGTATCCCGAAGTCCCTCCACGTCGCGACCTAGGCAGGCCCCCGCAAGCCCGCCAAATCGCGTGCTAGAGAGACCCCCACGGGTCCCCACCACATCGCGACCTAGACAGGGCCCCGCGGGCCTGCCAAATCGCGCGCAAAAGAAAGCCCCATGGGTCCCCCCCCCCCCCCCCCCACGCCTCGCGACCTAGACAGGCCCCCGCGGGCCCGCCGAATCGCACGCTAGCAGGACCCGCCGCGAGTCCCCTCCCGTCGACCTGTAACCACCCCGCCACCCGCTCGCTACCCGCAGCCCCGCACCCCTGAACGCAAACCAGATTTTGGCTAGCGATAGCTGGAGCGGAATTTCCATCACTATTCCCAAAATTTCTGAAATATTTGCAGTAGAGGCGCCGCGGTCGTCGCTCTTCTTTGTTGTCGTTTCAGTTGTTGGTCGAAGGCCGACCAATGTCAGTAGAGCTGCACTGTGAGATCTCCGATTGATCATGAGGGGGGTTACAGGCGCGTTCGCCTGGGGGGTTATGGGCGCACGGACCCGCTACACAAACAAGCCTTTTTGTTCTTATGGTCTAGTGGTTGGGATTCTGACATGGTATCAGAGCAGTGGCAGCAGTAGCAGCAGTGGCAGCATTAGCAATAGTAGCGCCAACAGCTGCAGGAAGGGCGGCTCGGCAGGGCAGCAGAAGCGCAGGCGGCAGCAGTAGCGCAGGCGGCAGCAGTAGCTCAGCAGCAGCAGCAGCACAGGTGGCAGCAGCAGCCTAGTAGCAGCAGCAGCTGAGCAGTAGCAGCAGCAGCAGCAGAAGAAGAGCGGCTCGGTGGGGCTTGGCAATGCTGCAGGGCGGCGCGGCTCGGGCTCGGCGGCGCGGCGAGACAGGGCAGGGCGCAGCAGCAGCAGCAGCAGTAACAGTGCACTTCACAGCAGCAGTAGTAGCGCTTAGCAGCAGCAGCAGTAGCGCTTAGCAGCAGCAGCAGCACCAGCTGTAGCGCTTAGCAGCAGCAGCTCGCTTAGTAGCAATGCTTAGTAGCGCGCTTAGCAGAAGCAGCGCGCTTAGCAGCAGCGCGTGCAGCAGCAGTAGCTGCGTACGGGCTCGGGCAGGGCGGCGCTGCAGGGCACAGTGCAGCAGCGTGTGCGGCAGCAGCAGCAGCGTAGCTCGAGCGGCAGCAGCAGCTCAGGCGCAGAAGCAGCTCAGGCACAGCAGCGCAGTTGGCAGCAGCGTACGCAGCAGCAACAGCAGCGCGCAACAGCACGCTTGGCAGGGCACAGCACAGCAGCGCGTGCGGCAGCAGCAGCTCAGGTGCAGCAGAGTGCGAGCAGTTCGCGGGCACAGCGAGCAGCGCGCGGGCAGCAAATCACTAACATGTTGGGGAGGAATGATTGACTAGGTTAAAGGGTGGGGTACAAGAGAGTGTCGAGGGAATTGATGTACCCCCTAACATGCAAATCACTATAGGCTAGATAACTAAAGTGAATATAACATTGAGAGCTTCCCCTTCCCTAAAATTTTAGGATGTTTGTAGGGGAAGCTCTATAATTTCATGACTAATAATATATAACACCATGAGATTTCAGAGTGTTCTACACCCCCTTGCCCTGAGGCCTCAAGGCGTACACAGCCACACTTCGTACACTGTATGTGTCGGCTCGTGGGATGGGAATTGACTAGTTGGTTTTGTTTACGTGTCTTTTTCACTACGTTAATTGCATGCGCGTGTCGCGCAACGTTTTACATCTTGAGCGAGACGCGGGTTCAAATACTGAGAGAGCCTGTGTGATTCTAGTTGAACATCTAGTGTAGTGATTGTATGCTGAAATACTTAGAAGTATGTTCTAGAATAGGAAATTAAATACATGTACAGTACTTGGAGAAAAAATGCCCTGAAGGCTCAGGGTGAAGCTCTTTTTGCCCTGAGAAATCAGGGTGTGGCAACCCCCCGTATTTTGTGGATGTTAGTCCAATTAGGGGCTCTGCCCTGAGGGCTCAGGGTGCCCTAATATGAAACCGAGGCCCTGCTCAACACCTTAGACGGAGCTAAAGTTCCTCGAATGACTATGACAGAGAGAGAGGCTGAAAGAAAGAAGCATTTTTTCGTGGTGATTGTAGTACAGGTACAGATTGTATGAAGCTCTAAAAAATCCCAACATCACCAAGGTTTGTGTGGATCTTAATAATCTTAATCAATGAAATTTATGACGTGTTACTATCATGAGTATAAGCTGTAGTGAATTATAGTAATCAAGGATTGTCGAAATGACTTGTCAATTATCACACCATCCATCAGCTCCGCGCATATCGCGCCGTCGCATGCGGCGGGAAGGCAGCAGTAGACGTGTGAGTTCGTGCAAATGGTTAAGTGTTAGTGGTGGGTGCTAGAGGAGTAACCTGCAGCAACGACTGCTGCACCCCTGTAAGTTGCCTCGTGTGGGCAATTTTGTCGTCAAAGTGAGTGGTGGGGGGCGACTCGCGTGTTTTCGGCGCGAAATTACGGAATTCATGGACTTCGCACAGGGGCCCCCTTAGGCGCACAGAGCAACTGTTTCAGGGTACGCCCTACAAGCGGTCTGAGGCTTCACGGCAGGCAGGCGTACAGCACTGAATTCTCAGGGTGATATAAAACAAACATCCTGAAATCTCACGGCTCTAAGTACAGAGTTCATGAAACTTCAGGGCAAGGGGGGTAACTGAACCCTGAAATCAGGGTAATCAGGGTATTTTACCCTAATGATATCATAGGCCCTGGAGCGGCTGAATGAAAGAATTAATTTTTCGTGGTGATCGTAGTACAGGTACAGATTGTATAAATCTCTAAAAAATCCCAACATCACCAAGCTTTGTGTGGATCTTTTTAATATTATGACATGTTACTGTCCTCAGTATAAGCTGTAGTGAAATTCACCCTAGACTTGTCAATAATCACACCATCCTCAGCTCCGCGCATTTCGCGCCGTCGCATGCGGCGGGAAGGAAATGTGTGGGAAATGTTTCTTTAGCAATCATTTTTCGCAATATTCACGATCAAGTATCCCGCATTCGCGAAATCCTGATCAGGGTCTGCCATTCAGGCTGCCATTCGCGAAAACGCTGCTGGTCATCACGAACTCGCCATCCCGCACACTCAATCCGCAATTATTTGCGACAATGTTCATGTGATACCCTTTGCCCAAAACTCGTGCGACTCGGAATGCAGAACCCCGAAACCCAATCTACGGTGAAGTCAATTGCCCGTGACTCATGGTGCCATCTCTCTCGACACAGCAATAGTGAAGTTATTAAGAGCCACCACTCCCGCTCATCTCATCACAACTATCATTTACCCCATATTTTCGAAACTGTCTAAGAGCACCAGCTCGACCGCTTCAGCCTCGTTGATACCCACAGATACGAGAATGACTCCCTTCAGCCACACAGCCGCTACTAAGGCCACTTTCCTCGTCGTGGTCATCGCATCTGCGCTGCTCCTTTCCGCCCCTGCGCGCGTCTCTGCCGCCGGGAAACCCGCCAACGCGACTGCGCCTGCCAGCGCGACTAAGCCTGCTAACTCGAATGCTTATGCTAAGGGGGTTGCTTCTGGCGCGATTGGGTCTGCAAACGCAACCACGCCTGCCGTGGCGGCGAAGGCGAGGAAGAGCAAGAGCTCGGGGCTAGGAAAGGACTCCTCCTGCGCTTACTACGCAAACTACACCGCCAACCCCTACTTCGGCAAGGGGCTCATTATGAAGCTTCCTCCCGCCATCTTCGGCCAGCGCTGCGGCGCGTGCTACAAGGTGATTTGCGCCAACGACACGAAGCACTGCCGCAGCGGCAAGGCGACCGTCACGGTCCGCGTCATTGGCGCGACGACCACGGAGAAGGAGATTTCGCTCTCCCCCGTGTCGTGGTCCAAGATCGTGCAGGGATCCGACGCCGCCCCCGTCGGCGTCACGTACAAGCGCACCAACTGCCATTCGACCCTCGGTCCGCGGTGCGCGTGCGCAGCAACTCGACGGCGGAGAATTTCAACATTCAGATGTTGGGTCTCGCCGGCCCCGGTACGCTCAAAGCTGTCGAAATCAGCGTGGACGGCAAGAAGTGGGCGAAGCTGACGCGCGACGGCAGCAAGGCGATCTGGGGGATCAAGGGCAAGGAGGCGAAGGAGGTTGTGGGCGCGAAGAAGGCGGTGAGCGTTCGCCTGACTGCGGGACACACCCTCGAGAAGATCACTCTCGACAAGGTCCTTCCCGCCGACTGGAAGCCGCAGACGCTGTACTCGAGCAAGACCAACTTCAAGAAGCTCATGGCCGAGGCTAAGTAGGCATGTAGTAAGCGTGAAGAAATTTCGAGGCGCCGCCCCAAAAACCGCTTCAATGGTACTTCTGGAAGACGGGATTTTGAAGTGGTTGTTGAAGGCAAGCTGACGCCAGCAATTGCGACACAAGGGTGAAGAAGGGTGATGTGATTCTTGGCGGGTAGGTGCTTTTGAGCATAAGACTGGCTGAACGTTAGGTGGTACTAGCGGGTGGGAGTGGGGTGGATAGGGAGTGGGGTGGGTTAGTGGAAAGGGAATGGGTTAGCGGATTGGGATGAGTTCGATTTACCTCAACACAGCATAGAATGTATGCTGGCTTTTGGGGGATCAAGCTAAATTGTGTAATGCCCAATGCATAACATTATACAACTAAAAGATGCATGCATGCGACCGATTTCTCAGCTGTAATCATCGTAGCCCTTCACTCCATCCTAACCACCACCTTGCCTGTCACGTGCCCTCCCATGCTCCTCCTCCACGCCTCTCTCGCCTCTTCAAACGGCACACTACTCTCCACCACCACCCTCACCTTCCCCTCCTCCGCCATCCTCCCCAGCACCTCCAGATCACCCTCCCTGTTCGCCATCATAGCAGGATGCAGTTTCCTCGGGCGAAGAGCCAAGCGGCGCCAGAGTCCCAGAGCGAGCAGAGAGAGCGGAAGCTCCACATGCGCCCACCTCCCTTGGGGACGGAGAACCCTGCCCACCGCAGAGACTGCCAGGCTGGTGGGCGAGCAATCAACTACTGCATCGTACAACCCGGTGATAGGCGGATGGGAGGATGAAGCAACCTGTGCAGCAGTAGGAGCAGAAAGGCTGGAAACAGGCGGAGGGGATGAGGATGAGGAGGGGTAGAGCTGTTTCCCTGCAGGTGAGTTGTAATCCAAAACCTCGTCTGCTCCAAGGACGTTTCGAGCGAAGGCGAGGTTACGAGCGCCGACAGTGGCAGTCACGTGTGCCCCTGCTGCCTTAGCCAGCTGCACTGCCATATGCCCCACTCCCCCTGACGCATTCGCCGCCAGCACCCGTGCCCTCTTCCCGCTACCGTCGTTCCTGCTTGAGCTGGCACCAGAAACAGTGCCGTTGCTGCTGTTCTCGCCCTTACCACTGCAATCAGGGCTGCGCTCCGCTATCGGTTTTTGAGGCGACTCACAACCCCGTTTGGGTTCCTCCAGGCTTGCAGGAAGGAGCAGGCCAGCGCCGTCCCTCACGGCTTCCAGGGCGGTGAGACCGACGGGGAGAGCAGCGGCAGACTCAAAGGTGAGGGAGGAAGGCTTGCGTGCGCTGCGGGCAGCTTCCAGTATGGCGTACTGTGCTAGGGCGCCCATTTTCTGAGAGAAGAGGAATGAGAATACGCAAGAGGTATGGGAAAGCAAATGAGAAGGGAACGCAAGCAAGAGGTGAGCTTGGTTGACGACTGCGTAGTGAACCCGAGTGGGGCCAGAGCGCCAGTGCATCAGAGCGCCCATTTTCTGAGAGAGTGAACGAGAGTGGGGCCAGAGAGGATGAATAACGCACGGAGGGTGTATGGAAGAGAAGTGGCAGTGAAAACACCAAACACCAGACTTTGGACGAGAGGTTGGTTTGCTTGTGGTTCAGGCTTTGTCCGCAGTCGAAAAGCAAGTGGCAGTATGTCATAAGAGAGGGATGCAACGCAGACCGGTGAAGATAGGTGCACTGCAGTGGATGAGATCGGAAGAACGAAGAACAAAGCAGAATCTGGTGGTTACGGAACGTACGAAGAACGGTGCTTTTCCAAAAACGGCCTCTCCCACAGTGTACTTGGTAACGCCAGGGCCCACTGCCACCACGTTGCCTGCCAGGTCGTACCCTGCACGAACAAAGGAAATTTAGGAAAACCAAACAATAATCCCGGATTCGAGTGTGCGGTGAGAAGGGTAAATGACAAGGCGGCGGGAAATGAAGTGCATACCGGTCGTCACCAGCAGAGGGGGGACCACAGAGGCAGGTAAGGGAACACAAGGCAGTGAGGACACAAGGCAGTGAGGACACAAGGCAGTGCATGCACAGCTCTCACCGACGGTGGCGGAGAGTCACAGCTGCAGGAAGGGGATGAGACTAAATTGCACCTTTCAATCAATCGGGGCGCTTTTGAAGGTCCTTCTTAAAGGCTTTCATCTTCTGCCTTTGGAAAGTCGTTCTTAAATGCTTTCATCTTCTGCCTTTGGAAAGTCGTTCTTAAATGCTTTCATCTTCTGCCTTTGGAAAGTCGTTCTTAAATGCTTTCATCTTCTGCCTTTTAAAGGTTTTTCTTAAATGCTTTCATCTTCTTAAATGCACGCTTTTCTCACCAGCGGTGGCGGGGAAGCGGCGAGGCAGGAAGGGGATGAGTCCCGACTGCACCTTCCAGTCGCCCGGGTTGATGCTCGCCGCACGCACGCGAACCAGCACCTCGCCCTTGCATGGCCTGGGCACGGGGACGTTGTCGTTCAACTGAGTAAAAAGCAGGGCATGACGGACGCATGTGGATATTAAATTCTTGCTTGCTGCGCACACACGAACCAGCACCTCGCCCTTGCTCGGACTGGGCATGGGAACGATTTTATTCAACTGCCGTGAGGTGAGGAGTGAGGGATGGGGAGAAACCATCATGGTTGAAGTTGCTCGCTGCGCGCATGCGATCAGCACCTCGCCGTTGCACGGACTGGGCACAAGGACGTTTTCATGCAACTGCCGTGAGGTGAGGAGGAGTGAGGGATGGGGAGAAACCCTAAACCCGTTGAAACTGTTGAGGTTGAAGTTGCTCGCCGCGCGCTCGCGATCAGCACCCGCCCTTGCACCGACTGGCCACAGGGACGTTGTTGCTCAACTGGTGATAGTATGAGGGGGATGCCGAATGGGGAAAATTATGCTAATACTCTCTCCTCATGCGCGCCGGGACGCCATCATTCAGCTGGTAAAGCTGGACGGGGTGGGGGATAAGGAAAATCTAGGTAAGGCTTCAAAGTAAAGCGGCTCGCCGTGCGCACTCGAATCACCACCTCGCCCTCACACAGCGTGCGTGTGTCGGTCATTGGTGAAGTGCGGTGGAGCGTGCGGGATGGAGGACACGTAACAGCACGCAGATGATGCGGCATCTGCGTGTCCATACCATGCCGTAGAGCTTGAAGCTGAAGGTCGGTCATTCAAGTGACGGAGCCCGTCATGCTTCAGTTCATGATGATGCGGGTACGTCGCGGGGTATGGACCGCAATTCCGTCGCGGTGCGACGATGGCATCGGAATGGAATGCCTGTGGGCTTACTAAGGATGCCTGACGTAAGCAAAGGGAAGCTCGTGACTCGGCGCAGAAAAGCAACTGCTGCTAGAAACGAAGAGCCTCGGATGATTCGGGCGGCGGGGGGACGGAACGCACCGAGAGAGCATCAGCCCCGCCGCCGTGCTTGAAGTACTGCCACGCCGACATGGTCTCCGGTACGTGCGACATTTGCGAGTCGCCGACTCGAACGGAGCTGATTCCAGCCATCGTCGTCATTGCGCGTCCGACAGCGGCGAGTGCTCACCGAAACGGATCGATTCGCAGCGGCAAATTGCCGTGGACGACTGGAGCGGATTGAACTGAATGGAACTGCTGCGGAATGTTCTGCCGAGCGAAAGTAGATTCGAAAAATGGAGGAAAATGCGGAGAGCAGATGATGGAACTGCTGCGGATGGTCTGCCTATTTGAGCTACTCGAATTGCGCGGCAGCATTGTGCAAAAGCGCGGCGCGTTCGCGTTGGTTACCATAGCTGATCTTGCGATACCAGCCAAACTAGACAACGGAACCCTTCCACGCAATGCAGGAGGAACGAAAGTCCTCTAGTCTCCAGGGCAACGAATATGTGCAACTACCGTACCAGACTTGCCTTCGCCCTGATTGTTGTAGAGATGAGAGATGTCAGATGCAGCCTGATCGACGTCAGCAGTGCGCAATCATCGCGTCACAAAGGTCGCATCTCGGCAATTTCAAGGACAGCATGTAGTACGTCGAAGTGTATTTTTGTTAGCTGTTACGGTTGCAATGGAACGTGATAGCGAGGATTGCACTATGTGGTCAAAAGAACCAAGTATGAGCGAAGGCATGAGCAAATACTTATGTGCGAAAGCATGCAACGGTTACGCGATGCGTGTGAGCTAGCTAGTGCTAGGCTGGCATCGAGGTTTGGGCTAGCCCCGAAGCGTAGGCCAACTCGGCCGGGCCAGCGATGCATGGTTTGGTGAAACAGTGCGCGCAAAGTTCACGAAGCCCCGTTAGTAGTAACGGGGCGAACAACGGCTGCTACAGTACGCGATGTTGTTGGTCGCGGTAAGGAATGTCGAGAAATTTCCTTACACTACCCCCCCCCCCCCCCCCTCCCCCCTCAAGAAGCCCCCTCCGCTACGCGAGTGCGTATATATCGCGGAAACCCCGGCTCCTCGGGACACTTGCAGGGCAGGGTGGTTTTCAATGTTGGCCAGGGGCACCCAGGTGTCTTCAGTTGGCGTGCGGTCCTTCCAGCGAACGAGGAACTCGATCCTCTTGATGCCTGTGGGGCGTCGGAATCTTCTCAATCAGAATCTTCTCCGGCTCAACGATCGACTCCGATGCAGGGCGAGTCATGGATGGCAGGCGGTGACGAGGCACTTGGCTCGTGGTTGGGATGTAAGGGCGAAGTAGGCTGATGTGGAACGATGGGCTGATGTACCAGTCGCTCGGCAACAGTAGATGGGCGGTAACTGGGGTGATCATGTGGCTGATTTGGAACGGTCCAAAGTATCGCGGTCGAAGTTTCGGTACGACGGGCAAATTCTGTGTGTCGAGCAGTACGTAGTCCCCCGACTGGTATGTGACTGGGCGGCGGTGTAGGTCAGCATTTCTCTTAGCGATGACATTTGCCTTTTTAATCGCTTCTGCAGCTCTGGTGCGGGCAGCTTGTAGAATCTCGACAAATTGTTGTGCGCGTGGCGTTGGGTTGTCCGGATTCGGCATCATGGGCACTGTTGGGTTTTGCCCATAGTTCAGGTAAA